GTGGGAGCTTTTTAATATATGCCATTTTTGTTGTTGGCATGTGACATTTGCATAATTTGGGCTAGGACTACTTCTGACTGAGAATAGGATCCCGATCAATTCCCCTGCCATGTCCCTTCATCCCTCTTCTTCTCTTTGCACTAGCACAATAGTCTTAAACCTTTTCAGAGCCAGGTCCCACTTTCAACCCAAACACTCATTTGGTGACCCATTTCTTAACCTTCTATATATTTACATGGTGGCAGTGCTCCTGTTGCGATCCAACTTGGATGAAGCTGTGACCCACTAGTGAGCCCTGACCCACTAGTTAAAGACCAGTGCCCTAGCAGACTCCTGACAGTGCAAGGTTCAAGCCAGTCATTGCTTCTCCTCTGTCCAGTGGCATGCATCTTTCCACTGATATAGCATTGTGCTCTGTTGGAATAAGGGTTTATGAGCAATCCTATCCTGCCTGGTGGCTTTCAGATAGGACATTCATTTACAACTGCCTTCACCAACTAGGTGCCCTCCAGATGTTTTGACTGCAACTCCCATCAGTTCCAGTCATCACAAACTCTAGGCCTCTCTGTCTGGCCCTCAGGACTCTCTCCAAGCCATGCTTCCTCCTCAGCCACACCCTTTCCCCCTGGTTACAGGTAGGTAGCCATGTTGGTCTGCCGTAGTCGAAACAAAATACAAAAATTCCTTCCAGTACACAAAAGCTCATACCAATAACAAACTTAGTTGGTCTCTAAGGTGCTACTGGAAGGATTTTTTTCTTTCTTTTCCCTTGGTCACATCTAGACTTCATTGCTTGATAAAGTGGAATGTGTCCTTGGTTGGCTGGATAGAGGATAGCGAGAACTATGAGAGCAGCCTGCTTTACAAAGGCTTTATCAGTGACTGCTCCCAGACTTTGGCACTCTCTCTGTAGGGAAGCTAGACAGACTCCCTCCTAGCTGTCCTTCCACAGGTAGGTGAAGAATTTCTTGTTCCAACAGGCTTTTTGGAATTGGACTGCTTTTCATTAAAGGGAGGATCCCACACAGTTTTTATTGTAATGATCTGTACGTTTTAAACAGATTTTATATGTGCATATAATTTAAATTCTATCACTGTTTAATTGTGTTTTAATGTTTGTTTGTTTTCTATACTTTTGGTGTTTTTTGCCGGGGTGTAAACAAATATAATAATAAAAAAGTTTACATGTGTTGTTTTGCCCTTTTTTGCCTCTAGCAAAACAATAACAGTTTTCCCTCAAGGGCCAAGGCACTACTCTAGCCTTGTATCCAGTCTAGCCGACCTTGCTGAGCATAGCTAAGAAACTTAGCAATTTTGATAAAACCAGACTGAGTTTGCATATTATGTGAGCTGAAATGATCGTAGAAAATGATCTGAAATCCTGTGTCCCACTAAACGTAAGATTTATTTGGGGAAGTTGGCTTTGGGAAAGTTGTTCAGATGATGATGTGGTCTTTGGTCTGAAAAAAGTTCCCCACCCTGGAATAGACTTACTGGGTTGTATTCATCATAACACTAAGGAAATTGCTCCACCAGCTGATGGAACAACCTCTCCCGCCTCCTTTATGAGTAGATTTGTGGAGGGTGCAGGGAGAAGAGTCCCATTGTGAGAGTGGGCATCATTGTGCTGGTTTCCACTTGTTCAGTGATTTAGTTGCATATGACCCACTGAAATCAATGAGCAAGTATACTGTGACAAGAAGCTACAGTTAGAACTGGATATGGAACAACTGATTGGTTCAAAATTGGGAAAGGAGTACGGCAAGGCTGTATATTGTCTCCCTGCTTATTTAACTTATATGCAGAATTCATCATGCGAAAGGCTGGGCTGGATGAATCCCAAGCCGGAATTAAGATTGCCGGAAGAAATATCAACAACCTCAGATATGCAGATGACACAACCTTGATGGCAGAAAGTGAAGAGGAATTAAAGAACCTTTTAATGAGGGTGAAAGAGGAGAGCGCAAAATATGGTCTGAAGCTCAACATCAAAAAAACGAAGATCATGGCCACTGGGCCCATTACCTCCTGGAAAATAGAAGGGGAAGAAATGGAGGCAGTGAGAGATTTTACTTTCTTGGGCTCCATGATCACTGCAGATGGTGACAGCAGTCACGAAATTAAAAGACGCCTGCTCCTTGGGAGAAAGGCGATGGCAAACCTAGACAACATCTTAAAAGCAGAGACATCACCTTGCCAACAAAGGTCCGTATAGTAAAAGCCATGGTTTTCCCAGTAGTGATGTATGGAAGTGAGAGCTGGACCATAAAGAAGGCTGATCGCCGAAGAATTGATGCTTTTGAATTATGGTGCTGGAGGAGACTCTTGAGAGTCCCATGGACTGCAAGAAGATCAAACCTCTCCATTCTTAAGGAAATCAGCCCTGAGTGCTCACTGGAAGGACAGATCGTGAAGCTGAGGCTCCAATACTTTGGCCACCTCATGAGAAGAGAAGACTCCCTGGAAAAGACCCTGATGTTGGGAAAGATGGAGGGCACAAGGAGAAGGGGACGACAGAGAATGAGATGGTTGGATGGTGTTCTTGAAGCTACCAGCATGAGTTTGATCAAACTGCGGGAGGCAGTGGAGGACAGAAGTGCCTGGCGTGCTCTGGTCCATGGGGTCACGAAGAGTCGGACACGACTAAACGACTAAACAACAACATACTGTATTAAGTTTCATAGATCCACTCTGTGTATTACTTTGGTCGATAGCACCCTATATTCTGGTGACACTCATGGGGAAGCTTACATTTGGCTCCATCAGGAGCAGGACCTTTTTTGTAACAGCACTTATGCGCTGTGTTTTCTTCTGGAAGAGTCCATACAGCTTCCACCATGCTCTTTATGAAGATGCGTGCGAAACCCTTGCTTTTTTAGGTAGCAGCTGAGAATTGTTGATGAACACTGCTATGCCCCATTAACTTAGTACAGTCGTACCTTGGATCCCGAACGCCTTGGCTCCCGAACAAATTGGCTCCTGAATGATCGAAACCTCGAAGTGGCTTCCACGGCTTCCGATTGTCTGCAGGAGCTTCCTGCAGACAACTAGAAGTCATGCTTTGATTTCTGAACATTTTGGAAGTCGAACGGATTCTGTTTGACTTCCAAGATACGACTATCAATGTTTTGTTATGTCATCACTTCTGTTTAATTGTTGACTGGGCTCATGTATTTCATTATTTTATGGTTGATTTTTGTTGTGTGTTTTTTTTGAGAAACAGTTGTATAGAAGTATTAAAAAATAAAATAAATACTGGTTGAGTGCAAATCTAGTTAAGTTTAGTGGGACACAGGATTTCAGGTAGTTTTCTACGAGCATTTCAGCTCACATAATATGCAAACTCAGTCTGGTTTTATCAAAATTCTTAGCTGTGCTCAGCAAGGTCAGCTAGATTGGATACAAGGCTAGAGTAGTGCCTTGAGGGAAAACTGTTATTGTTCAGCAACTTGGGATGGTTAATGACAAGTCTGGAGAAGTGAAAGTGCTCTGCTTTTGCACTGGATAAGCCACTTTGTTTTGTTTAAAAGAAATGTGTCCATTGACTGAGCTCTATATTTAATGCAAGACTGAAACTGAAAGCTGGCTTCACTCTTCATTTTTCCTTGTAAATACCCCTGAATGCCCAGTAACACAATTCAGGAAAAGAGCACACTTAATTAGCTATGTCTGATCTTCCTGATGTGCATGCACTATGGGATGCAACTGCTGTAACTGGATTTAGGAAAATAGTAAACTGAGTCGCCAGCATATATGTTCTCTTATGCTGCTGAATAACTTGTTGACATCTTTCAGGCTCAAGTTAGGAATGTCAGTTGATTGGCTATGCTGTAAACCTTTTTATCTGAGTATGCAACATACCATGGACCATATTTTCTCTTGGTGCAGATTATAACAATCTGTACTCTTCAGCATGTGTTCTAGATTGCCAGTGGAAATTAATAGTTGATTCCATGTTTTTATTACATCCTAAATAGTATTACTTTGTATACTTTTATAAAATTATGACCTGTATTAAAACAATTTGGCTAACAATATTTCATTATTGGATAATTTTGTAAAACTGGCAAGTTTGGCTTTTAATTTCATCTTGAGCATAGTGGTTTACGTCTGTATTTGCCCATCACGTCCAAAATGAGCAGCTGCTAGTTATTCCCGGTTCTGTATAATATGACTAATTTGTCTCAAGCTTGTTCCCACCAAAGAAGCTTCTACATCATGTGACAGGAACTAATTTTGGTGTTATTTGCTTCAACACAGTAAATAAAAGAGAGAACATGGATACTCTTCTTTGTAGGGTGGAAATGGTAGTACTGTAGAACACAGAGCAAAAACAACAATCGTAGCTCATTACAATTTTCTGTGCCTGTTTCTATAGTTCTACAGTTGGATCAGGGTCCTTTTTTTGTTGAGCAACAGCTGTTGTAAATAGCATGGGGTGACCCCACATTCTCAGGTTAGGGGAGAGAAAGGAAAACCTCTATCCATTTTATTCACTTCATGCTTAATTTTGTAAACCTCTGTCATGTCCTCTCTTGCTCATATTTTACACAATAGTCTGCATCTTATTAACATTTACAGTGTTCAGGTTTTCTAATGGTGGAATGCAGTTTAAGTACCTGCCTTAGCTATTGTTCCTGTTCAATATTGTGATGTACTATTAGTGGCTGACAATTAGCCTTATTCCAGTGGTTTTACCACTTCATCATTTATCTCCTTCGGCTTTTCTTATATCATTGAAACATGAATTGTTTGTAAGTCCCCTTATCTGAAAGGCAGAATATAAGCTTTTCTTTGGCAAACTGTGTAGTATGTAAGGCATTTTGTTGAAGTCTGTAGGTTGTCTGGGTGAGCTTCTTTGCAGTTGTTTCTATATGGTGTCACATAAAGCCATAAGGCTGTGAAAAGTCAGTTTGTAATATTTATTATTTGTTTGATTTTATATGAATTGAGAGTTGCTGTTACACAGCAGACTCTCTTGATTTCCTTGCAGAAATCAAGCTGGGGTAATTCAGTCAGTAGAGCAGGAGACTCTTAATCTCAGGGTCATGGGTTTGAGCCCCATGTTGGGCAAAAGATTCCTGCATTGCAGAGGGTTGGGCTAGATGACCCTCATGGTGCCTTCTAACTCTATGATATTCTATTTTTTTGTTTGTTTTTGTTTTGGAGCTACTTGTTCTCTCTCTCCTTGAGAAAATGTTATTTTAGCTTTTCAAGCAAAACTAAGACCCTCTCAACCTTTTTGAGTAATTTGGACCATTCTTGTTTCAAAAGGATATTATTGCCTACTGCAGGGGTGGTCAACCTTTTTATACCTACCGCCCACTAATGCATCTTCCTTCATGGTAAACTTTCCTTACTTCCCACCAGTGCTCGATGGAAGGAGGATTCAGCTTGTGCCGTAGAACCCTCTACCGCCCACCTAGAATCCTGAAACGCCCACTACTGGGCGGTAGGGACTAGGTTAACAACCCCTGGCCTACAGCATCAGACAGCGTCTACTTCATAAATCAATTTAAGCATTTCTTAAATGGACATTTTACAGAGCTTGCTCAGTCAGTGATCTCCAGTCAGAGAAAGTGGGTGTAACCTTTAATTATTTCCTGGTACCTCTCAAGAAGCAAAACCCACTTGTGCTGTATTGAGCCTCTTTTTCACAGTGTTACATGGTTGTTGTTTTTTTAACGGATATAAATCTGTATGTATACAAACGTATACACTATTAATATTTAACTTTTTCAAACTTAGGAGCTACTTTTAACTAAACTCTGGAACTTAAAACCTGCTTTTCAATTTTTAAACTTTCAAGTCAGTGTTTCTGACTTTCAGACGGGGGTCAGCAACATTTCTGGGGCAGTAGGCACTTTACAAACTGGAGAAACTGTTTTGAGCACCACATGCACACACTGCACCTTTTAAACACCCCTTTCAGTTTGCCTGTTAAAAGTGCAGGTGGCCTTCCTTCCTTGACTCTGGTATCAACCTATTTATACCAGTGCTACAACTTCCTTAGGCTGGGTTACAATCTGCTACTTGAAGAACAGTGGTCAATCCTGTAGATACATAGGAAGCTTAGTCCTGTAGAAATATAGGAAGCTTCCTTACACTGAGTCAGACCAATGCTTCCAGCTAGCACAGTATTTTCTACACTGACTGGCAATAGCTTTCCAGGATTCACACAGGGAACTCTCCCAGACCTACCTGGAGATAATAATGTTTGAATTTGGAACTATCTGCATGTAAAACAGACATCTTAGCTATATCCTTTCCTTTGTGCTTAATATTCCTAGTAACCAGAACCGACTTTCCCATAGGGCTTAGTGGTGCGTTGCGCCAGGGTGCCGGCCTCTCAGGGCCCCCGCAGTGAGTGGGGGATGTTTCCCTTTCCCTGCATGCCCACCTGCGCCCTGCCAACTGTATGGCTGGCAGGCATGCAGCTTCCTTCCCAAGCCTCTGCGGGGATTGCTCTCCTGCAGCAGCATGGGGGAGAGTTGCACCCCCTCCATGTCTGGCAGTGCACAGCTTCGCCCCCCCCCACTGTCTGTGTTAATTTGGGGGTGCTGGGCAGATATTTGCACCCCAGCGCTGCATCTGCTAAAGATGACCCTGCTAGTAACAGACACGTATATTTTTGGAAAGTTGAGATACCATAAGCGTTTAAGACCACCTGAATCGTAATACATAATCAAAGGGTGAAGAAGTCAGCTGTAGTTCTGAAACTCTTGTTTCTTCCACTCGATTGTATAATGCTTGTACACAGCATGTTGCTTCCTTAACACTTGAAATTTTGGGTCTCAGGTACAAAAACACAAGCCTTTTTATTTTGAGTCATTATAATCATGTTAGAAACTCCCTGAATTATCAGAACCGTTTTTATCACAGTTCTCCAGAGCTGCATTAATCTCCTAAACTGATTAACTATGAAAGGAGTACAACAGTATTAATTATGAAACACAGAAGTAGGTGGTCTGTTGGAAAGCATGCTTTCCATTTTAAGCCTGGAGTAACAATCATAGTAACACAACGCTGCTCATGTGACAGTTAGACAAAGAAGCCATTATGCATGGCTAGCTGGAGATGCAGCCTGCTCAAACCTATATTCAGGCAAAACTTGGCAGATCCAAGCTTAGAAAGTCTACTTTGTTGACACTCTTCCTTCTTCCAGGCAGTTCTTCCAGGACTCCTGGGTTTCATTTCCTTGAGTTGACAAAAAAATGGGAGACTTACAGTATCCTTGTAATATTTGCTTTATGCAATATATGACGTACAAATAAAGACAATTGAGATTTAGAATCAAGCAGAGCTCTAAAAGCCAGCAGATTTTCAGAGAGCAACTTGTGTGGCCACCCCCAATGTTGCATCCTTTGTTCCAGCTAATTCCAGCTAGAAGCTTTTAGCTTTCTCTCAGCTTCTGCCTCTGTCTCAGTTTCAAACTCCAAAGTTAATTATTTCTCGCAAACTGTTTTAAGACTACCATAGATAGTCATTAAGAAATATTAATGTTCTTTTGTCAGTACTCAGATCGACGGTGATCAAGGCAGCTAAACTCATAACAATATTATGGGATCAGTCACAGATTAAACCAAAGAAGTCCAGATTTGCTTTAATTATCCTGCTCATAGTGAGATAACAGGTGCAGGTCATATGCAGTGTTAGCCAATGAGTTACATTTTGATGTTCCATGTTCCATTCTTACCCTTTAATTTGATACTGTCTTCATTGGCTGGCAGTCTCATAGATCAGGCATTGAAGGGATTATCAAATGAAAGGTTAAATTGGAAGCTGTAACATTAAAATGTAAGGCATTATTGAACTTTTGCTTTGCTCCAATTTAGCCTTCCCCAACCTGTTGGCTTCCAGATGTTATTCCTGATCATTCCATCATTCCTGATCATTGGCCATGCAGGCTGGGGCTAGGAATATAAGAAGGCAATGTTTGTTTTACTTCCTTTATGTTCAGCACATGCATCATTTTTTTCCATTACGCTGCAATTCAGCTTCTGACAAAAACTGTGTTATTTGTCTTGCTGTCTGCTGTGGTGGAATTTTATGTGCTTAATTACAGTTAATCATGCTACCTGACACTAGTGCACCGCAATACAAATGGGGGTGGGGGGGGTCATCATTTATGTATTGTTTTGTGGACTGAACGCGCCAGCAGTGAATACCGATAGTATTTGTTCCAGAAGTGAAAAATAAAAATCAACAAACACTGGCAATTTCCACTCCTGTTTCTGTTTCCTTTGGATTTATCCAACATCCCTAGCTACAGTTGATGGGAACTGCCCTCAGAACATACCATGTTGAAGATAGCTGCACTTTTTTTTTATCCCAGTAATGAATCTCAGGGCAGTGCTATGTAACTTATCCTGCCATTTCTAGCATTTGTATTTTTGACTGTGTGTAAAACAGGCATTATATGTGTCCTTGCATTCATGCAGTATATTTTGAATCATCACCTAACATTGATTCCAAAATATAATTGGCTGGCCCATCTAGGGGCATATATATTTGAAAGCAAGCTTTCATATGCATATCCGTAGCTCGTTGAGGATTTCTGTGCATTTGATATTTGAACCTAAAAAGCATGCAGTGATGGCTACTATGTGATGAGATCATAGCAATAACACAAGAAGGGGAGAGAAAAAATCATTCATCCTGGATCCCCTGTAAAGATGACCAGCACAGTTCTCAGTGATGCTCTAACTAGAGGTCACATATCGACAGCAGTTTACTGTTGTGCACATGTACTGCTGTATTGGAGCCACTGAGTCCTTCCTTGCTTGTTGATTCTGACTTCTAGCTTTTCTCATGATTCCTGGCTCCTGGCTCACCTCACACTGTTGCCCTCAGTCCAGTTCTGACAGACACCATAGAAGACAAAATCAATACTCAAAATGATAGTCTGGAACTCTGAACTGAAACCAGGAAGATGAAACACTCTGGAGATGAACGCCATATCTTGCATTTAGGTACAAATAAATGAAAAGCACTTCTATAGTATGAAGGACACTGAGCTTGTAGCAGTGCACACAATCTAGGTGACTCAGTGGAATACAAGCTGAACATGAGCCAGTGGTGTAGTGCATACATATGAAATACTTTATCAAGTTCTGGGTGCCACATTTTTGGAAGAATCTGGATAAACCAGAGCATGTCCAAAAGAGTGGTCTGGTAACCCATGGAAAAAAAATGCCTTGTAGAAGAGTTGAAAAAGCTGGGTATGTTTTGCCTACAGAAGAGAAGATTAAGAAGTGCGAGTCTTAAAATATCTGAGTGGTTTGTGGACATTTTGTACTACATTTGGGGAAAGATTCAATTAACCTCCATTCTCTTGCATTCACTTTCCAATAGGTCTTTGCTGAATTTTCAGAGGAAAGAATGTGGTTCCACAAGTTGTGGAAAAAGGAGGTCCAGCCTATAATTCCTCATTTAAATCTTTGACAGTTCAAAGGGGAAAAGATTGCACTCTTTAAACCCCACTATCCCATCTAGTCATAGAACTAGACTATGTTCTAATATTTGAATCAAATCTGATCCTATACACTTGCAAAAATGTTTTCTTTTATGTAGTGTCACAATATCCAAGATGTAGTCAGAAATATTTTTCTACTTTGTTCATAAGTTTTCATCTGGGGATTTGTTGTTTAGCTTTCTGGCATGGGAGAAGATAGGAGGTTGAAAAACTTTGCTAAGCCTCAGCAACTTGATAGCTTAAATCAGAAGCCTTGCTGGGCTTGCTTGCAGGATTTGAATGAACTAGCAGTTCAGATTTAGCGAAGTTATCTTAATTAACCCTGACTTACACTACATTAATTGAATAATTGATGTTATAACTCACAAGGGTGTTTGCAGTGGTGAAAGGAAAACAAAAGCAGTTTCTTTGTCATTGCCAATGGAATTGTGTTAAATAATTTATCTTGTTTATTCAGTTAGCTGTCACTAATCTATTTAAAAAACTTTATTTATTTATATACATTTGGAAAAAGGTGTCAACAAAATTTGCTTCCAGGAGGATCATATAATCCACTTAGATATCTGAAACTCGGTTTTGCTGTTTAGTTGTGTTACAA